CCCCAAAACCCCAAAACCCCTCTAGTCAAAAATACTTGAAATAAGATAGATTTATTTAATATTTTTCATTAATCTCGTAATGGATGATAATCATTTGGACAGAGTTATAGTATTTAAGGATTATATAGATTAATTTTCTTTAGGTGACTCCAAAATTCCCCCATGCTTTCTAAAGAATTTCAACTGATATAGCTGAGATAAACAATTCAGAAAAGACCCCTTCTCCTGATGCTAGATTATTCCTATTAAGCTACAACTTGATTGATGATTCTAACATTTAATCAGCAAATGCCAATGCTAACGAAAAAAGAAAAACAAACAGTCCTTTGAGGTTGACTTGGGGTAGGATAAAAAAGTCATTGATAGATTGAGAGGATAGCGATATCGGAAATTAAGCCTATGAGCTATTTGGCATTATGGATTCCACTATACTGCTTACATCAAGAGCTATAGGAGTAGGATTTCTCTACTTCCCTAGTCACTCCAATCTTACTGTTTTCCTTATTGGTAGATATTCTTTTTATCTAAGATTGTACTAGGTATAATTCTGATTTTGATTAACTTTGGGCAAGGATTGTACTCATCCAATCTGATACTAAAGATGAGGTGCACATTACAGCATTATACGTAAGCATTTTATAATAATGTGATTTTAGATTAGAAATTTTTAAGAGTTAGCTTATTACAACGGAGGTGGCAGAGCCTCTATTGTAGGAGTGAGCTTAATCATCATATTTACATTTGCCCTCTACCCATCAGCATATTTCAGTAATATAAATCAAAACTTTGAAATTAAATCAATAGAGTTAGTATCGAATGTGATATTGGAACTATTTTGCTGATGCACAGGTACAGAGCATAATGCCGACTTCGATGAGAATCAAAGTTTGGAATCAGGTATTATTCTAGCAAGTTCGCTAGTTCTCCTCTATCCTTGCTATAATTATAAATTTGAGTAATTCAGAGTAAGATCTACTATTTCTGTGAGAAATACCATATAGAAAACAGCAAGGCTGATTGGAGTGACTAGTGTTTTGATATTACTATTGATACTCTTGTCCTTTCCATTTATTGTAAAAACTATAGAATGCAATCAGGTCTCCTAGTTTCAACTGAATTAGACAGTTTAGATAATCCAATTACTTCCAACAATGTGCTTCGCATTTAGTTTTGAATGCTCAGTTATGCCTGTCCACTCTATATCCAGACTCAAGGACTATAATGGAAAAAGAAGCTATAAAGCATGCTTTTACTGCCTCATCATTGCTATGAGCTACTACATAATATTAATGATTCAATCAGTTCTCTACGGAGACATATTTATTTAATGTAGCTAGCTTCATTCAGCTGATTTTCTCACAATAATCTTAAATGGAAACAAAAACGATTCAATCTCCAATGCGCTTTCAGTTATCCTGCTTTTTCTGGTACTAATCCAAAGTATTCTCCAGTTACTTTACACATTTTACGAGAGTCGGACTCACATTCATATTTTATTTGAGGAGCTGATCTATAGAGATACTAGCGAGTATGTAGATAAGAGGAAAAGACAAGTAAAGTTCGATGAGTAAGAGCGGAGACTATCTAGCAAGTAAATGATTGAGACAGCATTTCCAGACCCTACCAGCATAGAGAACAGTCAGAAAGAAAACATTAGAAGACTGTGCTTCTTCATTCTCTACATGATTAATTTGGTTATAGCTTGCTTACCTTCACAAAACCTTGCTGAGTATATCATCAATTTCGGAGGATCCACTACTATACCCATGCTAGTAAATGTAGTGCCTGGGTTTTTATACTATTAATTAAGCAGGCAGAGCGATGAACGCGAAGGAAAGCATTAACTACTGTCTTTGATATTTGGATTTATAGGCATTATCCAGATAATAGTGTACACGACTATCAGTCTCTATGTCTATATTATCATAACTAACTAGTAATTCTCTTGAATCCTACAAAATATACGTTTTGTCATAAGCAGTTCTACTTTGTTGCAGGATTGACTTAGTAGACTCGAGTTAAGTTTGAAATAAGTAATTAAATTAGGTAATGGTTTGTGATAATTTAAGTTAAATAAAATTTATATTTAAAATAAATACTATCTTATAATAAAATAATTAAGAAGAAACACTTAACGAAGAAATATGGCACAATAAATGCAAGGTACTGGCATCAACATGCCCAAGATTTCCTATGCCTCAACTATGATTGTTGAGGACCACCTTAAGAAATGCTTGGCTAGAACCACCAACAAGCCATTCAAAGTCTCTGACAACAAACTCCTCCCTAGAGCTCAGCACTCACCATTCGGAGACTTCCCCAAGGACTTCCTTCCTGGAAAGAAGCTAACCGTAACTGATATCGAGCCAATTGAGAAGCACGAGCAAAGCATTGCTGCTAAGGGTGTTTGTAAGATTATTCACTTCCTTTGCATTACCTCCGTATTAATCTAATGTGTTTATAGCAATCTTGAAAAAAGGAGAAGGTCTCGGAGGAAAGGCCACAAGTTTGAACAAGCCAAAGGAAAAGCCCGCCCCACAAAAGCCAAAGGCTGGAGCATTCAACCAAAGAAACATCCCATCTAGCGAGTTCAGAAGATTCTACGACAGAGGAGATCTCCCAATCGCCATTGAGCATGGACCACAAAACAGAATCTACTGGAAGGTTGAAATCCAACAATTAGATTATCATCATTATCTTCCAATCTTCTTTGAGGGTATCAGAGAAAAGCAAGACCCATACAGATTCCTCGCTGTTTAGGGTGTATTCGATATGCTAGACAAGGGTGGAGCTAAGGTTCTCCCAGTCATCCCACAACTCATCATCCCAATCAAGAGTAAGCTTAGATCATGCTTATATAATCATTTTAGCTGCCTTGAACACTAGAGATTCAGAGATCATTTCAATTACACTAAAGATTTTACAAGCATTAGTGACCTGCTCTGACACCATTGGAGAGGCATTAGTTCCCTATTACAGATAAATTCTCCCAGTCATGAATCTATTCAAGATCAAGAACCAAAACTTAGGAGATAAAATTGACTACAGTCAAAGAAAAGCTGCCAATTTAGGTGATCTCATTCAATAGACTCTTGAGATGTTCGAGATCCACGGAGGAGAAGACGCTTTCATCAACATTAAGTATATGATCCCAACCTACGAAAGCTGCGTACTCAACTGATTAAGAGAAGTAGGATGAGGAGTTTAAGTTTCATGATTGATTGCAAGCAGATGAGACTGGGTATCTCCAGAAAACATCATGATTTAAGCTAACTTTTATATATTTTAAACATATTCAAATTGAATTCGATTGCTCTTAGGCTTAATTTGATTTTCATGTGCAAGTTTAAATAGATTTGTATTTCACGAAAATGACGTATCTTTCTTAATGGGGTTTTGGGGTTTTGGGGTTTTGGGGTTTTGGGGTTTTGGGGTTTTG